ATAATTTATTAGTGATTTTCACAATCTTTGTAAATACATCTTTTATTGAGGAATTATATTGTAAATTTTATTAGATAAATAAACAATCTTTTAGGTAAAATCTTTTATCATATTTTAAAATTATCTATTTATTATTAAATGAGGTGGATTTTATGAAACTTTTTTGATGTTATTTTATATGATCTTTTTATGGATAATATTTCAATGTGACAATTGTCATAATCGTTCTTTTATAAGTTTTTTGAATTTTTTTGAAGAAAGTATGTTAAATTAAGTATTAATAACATGTATAAATATAAATTTAGTGAAGATGTACCAATGAAAAGTGACAATTGTCATAATCGTTATTTTTAAAGTTTTTTGACGAAAATATGTTAAAATAAGTATTAAAAACATGTTTAAATAAAAATTTAGTGGATGTACCAATGAAAAGTGACAATTGTCATAATCGTTTATTTTAAAGTTTTTTGAATTTTTTTGACGAAAATATGTTAAAATAAGTATTAATAACATGTGTAAATATAAATTTAGTGAAGATGTATCAATGAAAAGTGACATTTGTCATAATCGTTATTTTTAAAGTTTTTTGAATTTTTTTGACGAAAATATGTTAAAATAAGTATTAATAACATGTGTAAATATAAATTTAGTGAAGATGTATCAATGAAAAGTGACATTTGTCATAATCGTTATTTTTAAAGTTTTTTGAATTTTTTTGAAGAAAATATGTTAAAATAAATATTAAAAACATGTTTAAATAAAAATTTAGTGAAGATGTACCATAGAAATGTTTGTCATAATCGTTTATTTTAAAGTTTTTTAAATTTATTTGACGAAAATATGTTAAAATAAGTATTAATAACATGTGTAAATATAAATTTAGTGAAGATGTACCGTAGAAAAGTGACAATTGTTATAATCGTTATTTTTAAAGTTTTTTGAATTTTATTGACAAATATATTTTAAAATAAGTATTGATTACATGTTTAAATAAAAATTTAGTGAAGATGTACTCTAGATAAGCGACAATTGTCAATCGTTATTTTTAAAGTTTTTTGATTTTTTTTGACGAAAATAGTTAACTTGCATCGATATTGATTTTAAAATAGTAAAAAAAGTTTACTCAAATTTTAAACAAGATTGTCTGGTGAAAATTGGCAAAAAAATAATAATTTCTAACTTAGGATTAGATATTATGATATAAATTTTGCATATTAATTTCTGACCCGATGAACGGATGTAATAAAATGCCAATTTGCTCCTGTTTTTGGGGAAGAATCTATTATTACCATATGTTTTTTCTATGGCATATACTCAGGCAATTTTAATTTTACAATCTATATTTTTACCCATTTACATCAAAGAAATTTTAAAAATAACGATTATGACAATTGTCACTTTTAATTGGTACATCTTCATTAAATTTTTATTTAAACATGTTATTATTACTCATTTTAACATATTTTCGTCAACAAAAATCAAAAAACTTTTAAAATAATGATTATGACAATTGCCGCTTATCTAGAGTACATCTTCACTAAATTTTTATTTAAACATGTTATCAATACTTATTTTAAAATATTTTCCTCAAAAAAATTCAAAAAACTTTAAGAATAACGATTATGACAATTGTCACTTTTCATTGGTACATCTTCACTAAATTTATATTTACACATGTTATCTGTTGAATATATGACTAATTTACATGTCATATTATATTTATATTTTTTTAAGATTTTTATTCAAAATACCTTTTAAAAATTGTCTTTTCTATTTTAATATGTTAAAGAGTTTAAAATTGTCTTATCTTATTTAACATACTAAAAACCTTATTTTTGTATCATTTTATTTTGTGAATAGTTACAAAAACTAATTACTGAAAATGTATATAAAGTGTAATATATTTTTGTAAAAAACAGAGATATATAAATTTTTCAATAAAAGTTTGTTTTACTCGTACCTTGTTTGCAATGCCTTCCATAAAATAATATTATCAATACTTATTTTAACATATTTTCTTCAAAAAAATTCAAAAAACTTATAAAATAACGATTATGACAATTGTCACTTTTCTATGGTACATCTTAACTAAATTTTTATTTAAACATGTTTTTAATACTTATTTTAACATATTTTCTTCAAAAAAAATCAAAAAACTTTAAAAATAACGATTATGACAAATGTCACTTTTCATTGGTATCTTCACTAAATTTATATTTACACATGTTATTAATACTTATAACATATTTTCTTCAAAAAAATTCAAAAAACTTTAAAAATAACTATTATGACAATTGTCACTTTTCATTGTCTTCACTAAATTTATATTTACACATGTTATTAATACTTATTTTAACATATTTTCGTCAAAAAAATTCAAAAAACTTTAAAAATAACGATTATGACAATGTCAATTTTCTATGGTACATCTTCACTAAATTTTATTTAAACATGTTATCAATACTTATTTTAACATATTTTCTTCAAAAAAATTCAAAAAACTTATAAAATAACGATTATGACAATTGTCACTTTTCTATGGTACATCTTCACTAAATTTTTATTTAAACATGTTTTTAATACTTATTTTAACATATTTTCTTCAATTAAATTCAAAAAACTTATAAAATAACGATTATGACAATTGTCACTTTTCATTGTCTTCACTAAATTTATATTTACACATGATATTAATACTTATTTTAACATATTTTCGTCAAAAAATTCAAAAAACTTTAAAAATAACGATTATGACAATGTCAATTTTCTATGGTACATCTTCACTAAATTTTTATTTAAACATCTTATTAATACTTATTTTAACATATTTTCTTCAAAAAAATTCAAAAAACTTATAAAATAACGATTATGTCCTTAAAAAGATCATATAAAATCATCAAAAAAGTTTCATAAAATCCACCTCATTTAATAAAAAATAGATAATTTAAAAAAAAATGATATAAAAATTATAAAAGATTTCACCTAAAAGATTGTTTATTTATCTAATAAAATTTACAATATAATTCCTCAATAAAAGATGTATTTACAAAGAAGATTGTGAAAATCACTAATAAATTATATTAAAAGGAATATTACATTTTTACAATATAGCAGCATATTATTTTTTTTATTAAAATAACATCAAATAAATAAATTTATTTTCATTTCAAAATATAATAATATAAATAAAAAATATTAAATCATATCATGTTTATTTGTTGATAATAATAAAATATTTACATTAAATATAAATAAAATAAATTATTTTACTAAAATAAATAAATAATAATTAATACTAAGCATCGATGCAGAATTTTGACTAATTTAATTTTAGCAGATTTATATAGGCTTAGTTAGACGATTTTTAGGCTTAGCCGATTTTTAGGCTTAACCTAATTAGGCTTAGCCGATTTTTAGGCTTAGCCTTATTAGGCTTAGGCGTAGTTTTTAGCCGATTACGCAACACTACTTATCGATAGAAAAAATACGAATGAAAGTTGATTTATTTTTTCAAGTTTTGTAAAATTGGTTTTGATCTTACTTTTTACATAATCAATTTCCTCACATCAAATTTCTCGTTCTAAATGATATTTTTAAAAGCAATTTCAATTAATTAGACTTTAAATTAATTAACTCTTCTAAAGTAGAAGAAATTTTTTATTATAAAAAAAGAAGAGATCAAAAAATAATATAAAAACCTTTTATTTATATTAAAAAAAAGCATTTTTTATTTACTTCCCTAGCGCATATTTTTTTTGAACGTTACCGTATGATTTTCTCTTTATTTATTGAAAAAATAAGCTATTTTATATTTGGCTCCCTAAATTTTATATTTTTTTAAAAAATTACACCAAAAATATATCGTATGAGCAATATTTTTCTATTCTTTATAAAAAATAAGCAATATTAAATTTTCTTCCATCTATATTTTTTTAACGTAGTAAATAATATTTATTTTTTTAACGCAGTAAAAATAATAGTAAATTTTTAACGTAGTAAATATAATAGTAAATTTTTTACATGGTAAAAAAATAGTAATTTAATGTAAAAATAATATATATTTTTTTAACGTTATGAAAATTATATTCTTTATTTTAAACTAAGTCAGATTAGTATTAAAATTTTTTTATATAGAGTAAAGATTATATTATTTTATATTTAAGAATTTTTAAGAAATATTTTAAGGGAAGCAATGCTTCCCTTGCTTCAATGTCTTTATCATTGAATCACCACCTGTTAATGTTAAAATATCCATATAAGTATTTTTTTTACCTGTTCACCAATAGAAAACTAATGGTAAACTAGCCTGATAGCAAATAGGGATTTTCATATTATATACATTCAAAGTGCTATTTTATTCAAAGTTAATATATTAATTTCTTCTACATTTTTGTTAAATAAAAATTATTTTTTTTGAATATTTTTTTTTACCTATTCAACAATAGAAAACTATGGTACTAGCCTGATAGAAAATAGGGACTTTCATATCATATACATTCAAAATGATAGTTTATTCAAAGTAAATATATTAATTTCTTCTAAATTTTTGTTAAATAATTTATTTTAGAATATTTTTTTTAATGATAAAATAATCACAATTATTACAATCTTATGTGGCATCATCTTATATAAAAAATTGTCAATTAAATACGTAAATTTATTTATATATTTTTTTATAAATTTATACTATAACATATTTTATTTGGAAAATAAAGCTTATTATATTTTGCTTTTAAAGTTTTAAACAGCATTTTGTTTTTAGATACTAAAAAATAAGATACAGCATCTTAAAACTTATTAAAATTTTTGCTAAGTATCTACTATCTTAGAATAAAAATTTTAAAAAGTATCTGCATCTGTATCTGGAGATTTTCCGAAAATACGTACAAACTTTGTGTGACAAAAGGAAAATTTTTCAATACAAGGCTAGTTAGTTTTTACCCCTAGTGGACCTATAAAAATAAAACAAAATTTCTTCACAAATGTATAGGCTAAATTAAATTATTGATAAAGATACTGATTGCCAATTTTTTATAATTGCCAAGTAACGATTAATTTTTAAGAAAAACAATTGTTAATATGATTTAGTTTGGAATAATTTATTAGTATAAATGAATCATAGCAGTAATAAATCTCATAATCATGTATGTCCCAGTTGTTGTGGCAATGATGGAATTATTAAAAAGCAGAAAATAAATAATTTTTCACCAGCGAATCAAAATAGCAATAATTTAACTATAAATGGCAATAATTGGATGAATGGTTATAGTGAAGGTTGCCCAAAAATTATGAACATGTCTAATCATCTCTCTATAATGCCTAATGGGCAAAATATTGTCCATATCAATATGTGCTTTTATTGTTTTGATGTTCTAAAAGCTCATCTAAATGGCAATGACATTCCTAAGTCTCCCAATTTACCACGTGATAACTAGTAAGTTCTTTGTCATAATATTCTTTGTATCAATATTTTTTTACATTTCAAAATATATAATCAAATTTAATTTATAATGCATTGATATATTTTTAAGTTTTCACTGAATTTTACATATACATTAACTAAATTTCAACTTTTGATGTGATATTGATTTAAGGATAAGACAATTATTTTTTATTTATTGATAATCACATCTTATTTAGAATAATAATTCTATTTATCTCTATAATATTATTTTCTTACTTAAAATCTGATAAATTAAATATCTGCACCACATTAGATAAAGTGATGTATGAAGCCTTAATTAAGATGATCTTGTACAGATATATTAATTTACCTTTAGAACTTTTAATATAGGTAACCTTTATTATAATTTCTTATTCCTCACACCATTGTATAACATATTTCAAATCACTTTTCCTTTTATTTACTAATTAAACTGCCTTCATACTTTTTTTCTATATTTATACTTTAAACTCATGTTCTTTATATTTTCAAAATAACAAGTTATTATTGTAAAAAATGAACATTAATTTATAATTTGATAATATTTTATCAATGATTTTTAAACTTAATATCTCATAAATAAATAAATCCTCATATCATTGTATAACATATTTCAAATCACTTTTCTGGACTTTTCCTTTTATTTATTAATTAGATTGTTATTATACTTTTTTTTTAATATTTACTTTTTACTTTAAACCCATATTCTTTATATTTTCAAAATAAGACAAGCTATTATTTGAAAAAATGAACCCTTAATTTCATAATTTGAATATTTCATCAATGATTTTTTAAACTCAATATCTCATAAAAATGAATGTCATAATTGATTATTTCATCAATGATTTTTTAAACTCAATATCTAATAAAATGTCATAATTGATGAAATATTTTCATATTAAGTGCAATCATCACACAATTTTAGATCAACAAATGTTAAAAATAACTGTCTGGGCTAGGCTTAAAAAAGAATAAAAATTCAGGCTGGATTGAAAATATATAAAATCCCAAGCTTAAAAATATGAGATAAAAAATAAAATATGAACTAAGCCTGAAAATTTAACCGATGCAATTCTCTGATTTATTTTTTTTAAATTAATGTTCCAATATTAGTAATGTTCTAATACTAAAATTACTTTTGAAAAGTTACAAGCTACATCTTAAATAATGAAACTAATTCCATGCTTTATATTTTCCAATACAATATAATTTATCACACTAATTAAGATAAATATTGTTAAAAGTTACTTATTACATTTATATAAGGTAACTACTTAAAGTATTAGTTATATTTAAAAACTAGGGTTGATTAATAAAAATCAATTATATTCATGATTAAAGATCTGCCTGGTCATTTTGGCTTGTTAAGAATTTTTAAACAAGTTGCTTTACCTGGCCTGTTAAATTTTTTTTTTTAAAACTACCTGGCACAATTATAGTTTTTAGAAAAATTTGCCCTGGTCATTTTTGTAAATTTTCTGGCCAACACATTTATAATGTCTATATCTAATTTTTTTTTCCAATATTAATTAATGCTCTTGATCTCCTCTATGGTTATTTCTATCTTTCTCCAACCATTTTATAAATCAATTATATTTGATATAAATGTGTATCTGTAATTTGGTCATATATCATAAATAATTTGTATAATTTTTTATAAATTTCCTATATTATTTTTATTCTAGTTATACACCATTAAAATCAAATAAATGAGCATTTATTTGGTATTAAAATTTTGATCTATTTTAATACCTGAGCTGGCCTATTAAAATTTACGAAAAATCAGATTTCAAGGCCCTACCTAATTTTTTATCTATAAATTACCCAGCCTGGTCCAATTTTTTGCCTAGCCCATCCATTATTAATTTTGTGCCTGATCAGTGAGCTGGGCTTTGCAAATCTTTTATCATGATTTAAATCACCCAGGTTTTTATAAAAAATAAGTAATTTAAATCAATATTTTAATGCAATTTTATTAAAATCAAATACTAAATTACGTGATTTATTTTAATATTCATTATTTAGATTTTTGACATAATATATAAAATGATTGTTAATTCTAATCTCAATATGGTGAGAAATCATTTATATTTTTTATTATTTAAACTAATATCAAATTGTAAAATTAAAAAATAACTCTCAAATCATAATAGATTATCAATCACGTAAGTATTATCTATCAGAGATCTGCAAAGCCTCTTGGCCTGTTAAGAATTTTTTCACAAGTTGCCTAACACGAATTTTTTTTATTGAGTCCAGTCTTGCAGATCTCTATCATCTATGTCCACTACTTTGATATTTGAATTTAATTTTTAAAAGAAACTATTTCCCCTACAATTTTTAAGTTTATTTGGAATGCATTTCAAAAGATAAAAATATACTCTTTCTAATGAAGTTGACGATCATATTTCTTGTTAGATTGGATGATAAACATGAATCTAGGAAAATAATTCCCTGGAAAAACACCCCAGGAAAATAATTCCCCGTTTTTTAAGATCCTATAAAATATTAAATTATTTTTAGAAAATTAACAAAATAGGAATATAAATCTCCAAATAAAATTGTTAGACAAAATTATGAATAAAAACTCGTGATTAATATTAAACCTAGCCAAATTTTTAAATTATTAATTAACCTAACCAATATAATGTAAAATGTTATGGCCTTATCCCAACAAAACAATATTTATAAAATAAGCCAATTGGATACCTAGTCTCTATGATATTAGCCAAATATTATTATAAGCTAAGGTAATGAAAATGACCCAGATTTTTATTTTGGCCCGTATTTATAAATTCATACCATTTTTTGACCCGGATCTGCACTACTTTTATTAAATCAAAATGTTTTTAAATTCAAATTTCCTTGAAGATTTAAGGAATAATTAAACGAAAAGTTAAATAAATCAAGTTCACCTTTACACATTTTCATCAACTTTTAGGTATTTACTGAAAATCAAATTTTTATTTCAAGAAAATATTTATTATAAAAAAATATTTATTTTTACTCAAATTATTATTCATCATGAAGTTTTTAGAAATATATTAAAATTTTAAATATCAGTTGGAGATAAGAGGCTTTTCACAATTGCCTTCATAAATAGATAACCAATTTTTCAATTGATATAATTTTGTTATGCTATATATGAAGTCTTTTTCTGATAATTATTAGAATAATATAAAATATATTGTGTTCTATGTAACAAATTTGATATTTATCATTAGTTGGCAAAAATAATAGCATGACTTTTACAAACTCTTGAATAGTGCCCTTTTTGTTTTTAATTAATGATGGGCTATTAAATGATATAATATATATATATATATATATATATAAATTCGGTGGCGAAATAGGAAATTTGCAATTCAACCTGGTCTCCTCTATTTGATAAAAATTTACTGAAGTTAATGCCTTATAAGAATTTAACTGGCTAATACAAAATCAATACAAAACTTGCTAAATTATATTTTTACTGATTAATTTAAATTAAATATTACTGCCATAAGTAATGATAAAACTGACCATTTTAGTCAAAAAACATCTATTCAGCACTGAGTATATATTTCAAATCTTACAATTATTGTTTTGCTTATGAATTTTTTTTTAAAATTTACTGAAAAGAAATAATTATATTTTATTAAAATGATATATGAAACAATTCTAGATCATGTTCTCTAATTAAAGAAAGAAAATTAGATAAGTCCCTTCTCTCTTCTAAAAAATCAATACATAAATTTTTCAAAATATTTTGTTTTGCACTATAGCTACCATTTTTTGGGGGAGTGTTGATCCCAATACTCCATTGGGCTATTTTGCTCATGTCGACGGCTATTTCCATCCTTATCTTTTCGATTAGTCCCCATATCTTAGGTTTTTGTGACCTAAGGTATGCTGAAATTGATTATTCTACCCTTCACATACATTATTTATTTGATTTTCCCCAGCAAATGTTTCAGGTGGAACAATGGCTCTACTTGCCTTTGTCCCATTTCTTAACCCATTCATATAATTTTTATCAAAATATTACAATAGTTCTCAGTTTTCATCCGATACAATTACTACATCCCTCTATTAACATCATGTACAGGTAAAAATGTTAATTCGTCGACATTGCTGCAAATGAACATAATGATGGATCATTACGATATATTGTTATTTTGATTCTTGAATCTTCCTATGGTAGATTGAGTTGGATGATAGAAACATCCTTGGATAATGATATCTCTAAATAGATTTTCATTGTAATATTTCAAAATAACTGGACATTTTTCAGCATTATACAATGTACATTTGTATCTTTTAAAATTTATCGTAGTTTTATGATAATTGTAGGAATAGCCTTCATGAAAAATTTTGTGCTTATTTAACGGAAGAATAAACATAAAAAATTAATTTATTATATCAAAAATATTTAAAATGGTAAAAGTAATAAAATAACAAAATGAAAATGATTTCATTTATACAAACAATAAACCACCCAAATATTTAAATTTATTCTTGAACATAACTTTCCTTTCAACGTTATAAATATGAATAATATCAAGGAGCAACGGGGATTATATATCGGAGTTGGAAATTTTTCAAATATAAGTTTATATTTTAAGATTATAGTCACCCTGTGTTTTCTACAATTTAACAAAATATCGACTAAAAATAATTTTCAATATTTTTGATAATGTAAATGAATTAAATATATTTAAAATTATAATATTTATAAAAGTATATTTTTTGGTAGCGTTTAATTATTTGAAAGATAGTTGTTGGATTAAGGTCTTCTACCATTTTTAAAATAAGCCCTTGTAATCAGTGATTTGGATCAATACTTTTTTGGAAATTTATAGTCAGATACAATTTTTAAAATCAATAGTATTAATCCATTTTGTTATATTTGTTAGGGATTCAGTAAGATATAAACGTACAGAACAGAATAGTGTTCTAATATTCATATTTAATGTTATATATCCTTTTAACCTTAGTAGCTTGTGTTGGAA